TTCAAGTAACGAAGGAGGCGTGAATCGCCAAAGCCGACGCCCATATCAGCCGCGCACATCACCGCGTCCTTTGAAACACCCTCAGGTGGCCAATGAAGAGTAAGTGTTGCGATTGTGGAAACCATTCTCTTAAAAATAACATTTTTATTGTTCAAATTATTAGCCGCTCCGAAGGACTCGATCAATACGCGTCTGTGGGAAACAGTGAAGATCGTGATAAGACTAAGCCTTCACCTAGCTGGCGCAAGACTCGTTTTAATCGCCCCATCGATGGTGATAATCAAAACGGACGTTCGAGCAACCAACAACGTCGCTATAGCGCCAGCTTCGATGACGACCACCACATCGTGCGTAGCGATGGCGGTAATTTACGTCTATATACCATACACGATCGTCGTAAGCATTCCCAGGAACGTTATGAGAGGAATCTTGGCAGCAACAATTACAGCAGCATTGTGAACTCCAATTGGGACCAACGGGATGATCGCAGCGAACGCCCATATATTAGCAATTATGAGCCTGGCAATTATAAGCGCGGAGGGCGCTTTCACAATCGTAATACGTACGATAAGTCACCACGGTTCCAAAAGCAGCAGCAATAGCAACATCACTCACCTCATGGGCACCAAAATAAAGACAATCAGAAGATTCACAGCGAGACGTGGCGTCGCTAAAATACGTCCATAAACAATTCTTATCAGGATAAGAACTGTGCCTACAACTCCAGTGGGCACGAGTCAAATAGTTGCAGTTCATCACCAAAATCACAAATGTACGATGGAAAGTCGAATGCATCATATCGTCAGCGTCATCGCAATTTCACGCGACGTTCCCAGCCGCATATACACCAACCGAATGCTGAGAACTGACAGGCCCAGGGAAGCACCAAGGATGAGACCGAGATAGTTCGGAATGCCCAAGAAACCACAAAACACATGAACTATTTGTCCGCGAAGAAATGAGAAAAGGCTCCAGGGCGGCGGGTCCCCGCGGCAAAAGGACACTTCGTCGCAAAAACAATGAAGCTCATTCATCCTTATATTTATTCTGCCTACAATGTCTTGCACAATTAAAGATGCAATTGATTTTGATCAACTTCGGTTTGTGTTGGTTGTGCGAGAATTTTATGCATATTAAATGTGCACGATTAGGTGGCGTGACTTCGACAAAGTTTACTCACCTAAAAAAGGCTGTGGTGGTTTGAGGTGGTCCTGCCCTGTACGCATTGTCATCCAATTTAACGTGTGTAATAACGTGCGAAATAAATTTTTAAAATTGCAAAAGTTAACTAAGCAACTTTCAACTGAGTTCGATAGTCAATATAAGTTTGTGTCTCTGCCCAAACGTAGGTTAGAGCCTCAATTTCTAGAGGCCCCGCGGAGGGAGGGAATTTCCAAAATACACATTTTCTGCGTATTCACATAAGGCATCTGGGACTAAAATTAGTTATACGAATGGAAAATCGGGAAAATTCGCACTCCAACACACGGTATTATTTTATAAAAAAAAAAAAATATTTTAATTAAGTACTCATAGATCTGTGCATTTTAACTCTATTCATCACCTATTTAAAAAAAGGAACATTTACGAGTATTATTCATAATTACGGCCAGAGGCAGTAGCATAGAACGGATAAGCAGGCATTGGTGGAGAACGCAAACAAACGGAACTTCACAAACACAACGCACACAAACAGCAACAATTCCGATCAAGAAATGGCTAATATAGTTAGCAATCACAACAGTAGCAGCAGCAGCAATGGCACCAAGTACACAATATCTTACAATAATTTAAACAACGCTAGTACGAACAGCAATGGAATTGGCAGTGCTGGCAGCGAGGTGCAGACTTTGCGCGACGTTATGTCCTGTAATATGCTGAACGCGGGAGTAGGAACAGGTCCTGTCAACTATATGATACCAACAGGTGGTTGTGTCTACGACCACATCATTGCCATGATGAAGGGCCTTGATCTGGAGGATGATGGTATATTGTTGAACAGGAAGATAAAGGCCATAGAAACGGATTTCTACAACATTATTCGCGACGAATCGATGCTGTGGTGTGTATAAGTCCATTGATGATTAATATATAAAAAGATATATAAATAATATATAATAATAATAATAATAATAATAATAATAATAATAATAATAATAATAATAATAATAATAATAATATAATAATAATAATAATAATAATAATAATAATAATAATAATAATAATAATAATAATAATAATAATAATAATAATAATAATAATAATAATAATAATAATAATAATAATAATAATAATAATAATAATAATAATAATAATAATAATAATAATAATAATAATAATATATACATACATACATTTGTGCACACAGAGCTAAGCATGTTTCTGTTACCACAATTTACAACTTTCTTAAATACCGTATAGACCATTTTTTCAAAAATACATATCTCATTGTGAGCAATATTAGTTTTGTTTCCTTATATATTATATGCCTCAAAAAAATAGTATATTAATAATTTTCTTATTTTATATTGCAGTGAGTCCATGGAGTATATGAACGATAAAGCATTAGGCGATGGAGACACTGCTCTGAAATTTGCTCTACTTTTTTCATCCCGGAACTTCGATGCGTTGGCTATGAAAGAGACAAAGGTCCGAAGTGCTATGCTAAAGATCCTGGAGACAAATTTCATCAATGCAGACGCATACCGAGAGCATGACAAGAATCGTCTGTACAACTCCATAACACTTTTAGGCGAATACTATCATCGCGTTCGTTTGGCCAACAATGCACCTATTACAATTTTGGGTGAATCGCTGCTCAATCTACTTACAAGGGAGATCAATGACACCTCATTGGTAATAAATACTCGATTGGCGCGTTTGATTTTATCACAGATTACGCTTAATGGCGAGATAATGCGCTCGCGCCATAAGGTAGAAATTGACCAACTACTGTACCATATTAGACGCCACCTGATAATGCAGCCGGTGCTAACGCCTAAAGTAAAAGCTATGCTGCTTATGGTGTTGGATTTGTTCTACAGCCATTTTAAGCACATTGGCTTCGAGTTGGAGGCAATGTACTCAGACTACCTGGTTGCTGAGAGTGCGGAAGACGATGGTATTAATAACAATAGTGTAGCTGTGCAGCCGCAGACTCAGTACCAGCAGCAACAAGAGTCTCAAAGTGCGTATATAGAAGGACATGGGAGAAGTAACACTGATAATGCCAGCCAAACAAATAAGTCCACCCACGATTCTTTTGAGTTGCAGCCTACGATGAAGAAATGGATCGAGCAAGTCTGTGAAGATTCGCTCTGCGATATTGGTTTTGGCGAGGCGGATATTGGTAGTGGTGATCTTTACAGTCAAGTCGAGCACGAACAAGCACGAGAAAGCAACAGAAATTCAAGTAACGAAGGAGGCGTGAATCGCCAAAGCCGACGCCCATATCAGCCGCGCACATCACCGCGTCCTTTGAAACACCCTCAGGTGGCCAATGAAGAGTAAGTGTTGCGATTGTGGAAACCATTCTCTTAAAAATAACATTTTTATTGTTCAAATTATTAGCCGCTCCGAAGGACTCGATCAATACGCGTCTGTGGGAAACAGTGAAGATCGTGATAAGACTAAGCCTTCACCTAGCTGGCGCAAGACTCGTTTTAATCGCCCCATCGATGGTGATAATCAAAACGGACGTTCGAGCAACCAACAACGTCGCTATAGCGCCAGCTTCGATGACGACCACCACATCGTGCGTAGCGATGGCGGTAATTTACGTCTATATACCATACACGATCGTCGTAAGCATTCCCAGGAACGTTATGAGAGGAATCTTGGCAGCAACAATTACAGCAGCATTGTGAACTCCAATTGGGACCAACGGGATGATCGCAGCGAACGCCCATATATTAGCAATTATGAGCCTGGCAATTATAAGCGCGGAGGGCGCTTTCACAATCGTAATACGTACGATAAGTCACCACGGTTCCAAAAGCAGCAGCAATAGCAACATCACTCACCTCATGGGCACCAAAATAAAGACAATCAGAAGATTCACAGCGAGACGTGGCGTCGCTAAAATACGTCCATAAACAATTCTTATCAGGATAAGAACTGTGCCTACAACTCCAGTGGGCACGAGTCAAATAGTTGCAGTTCATCACCAAAATCACAAATGTACGATGGAAAGTCGAATGCATCATATCGTCAGCGTCATCGCAATTTCACGCGACGTTCCCAGCCGCATATACACCAACCGAATGCTGAGAACTGACAGGCCCAGGGAAGCACCAAGGATGAGACCGAGATAGTTCGGAATGCCCAAGAAACCACAAAACACATGAACTATTTGTCCGCGAAGAAATGAGAAAAGGCTCCAGGGCGGCGGGTCCCCGCGGCAAAAGGACACTTCGTCGCAAAAACAATGAAGCTCATTCATCCTTATATTTATTCTGCCTACAATGTCTTGCACAATTAAAGATGCAATTGATTTTGATCAACTTCGGTTTGTGTTGGTTGTGCGAGAATTTTATGCATATTAAATGTGCACGATTAGGTGGCGTGACTTCGACAAAGTTTACTCACCTAAAAAAGGCTGTGGTGGTTTGAGGTGGTCCTGCCCTGTACGCATTGTCATCCAATTTAACGTGTGTAATAACGTGCGAAATAAATTTTTAAAATTGCAAAAGTTAACTAAGCAACTTTCAACTGAGTTCGATAGTCAATATAAGTTTGTGTCTCTGCCCAAACGTAGGTTAGAGCCTCAATTTCTAGAGGCCCCGCGGAGGGAGGGAATTTCCAAAATACACATTTTCTGCGTATTCACATAAGGCATCTGGGACTAAAATTAGTTATACGAATGGAAAATCGGGAAAATTCGCACTCCAACACACGGTATTATTTTATAAAAAAAAAAAATATTTTAATTAAGTACTCATAGATCTGTGCATTTTAACTCTATTCATCACCTATTTAAAAAAAGGAACATTTACGAGTATTATTCATAATTACGGCCAGAGGCAGTAGCATAGAACGGATAAGCAGGCATTGGTGGAGAACGCAAACAAACGGAACTTCACAAACACAACGCACACAAACAGCAACAATTCCGATCAAGAAATGGCTAATATAGTTAGCAATCACAACAGTAGCAGCAGCAGCAATGGCACCAAGTACACAATATCTTACAATAATTTAAACAACGCTAGTACGAACAGCAATGGAATTGGCAGTGCTGGCAGCGAGGTGCAGACTTTGCGCGACGTTATGACCTGTAATATGCTGAACGCGGGAGTAGGAACAGGTCCTGTCAACTATATGATACCAACAGGTGGTTGTGTCTACGACCACATCATTGCCATGATGAAGGGCCTTGATCTGGAGGATGATGGTATATTGTTGAACAGGAAGATAAAGGCCATAGAAACGGATTTCTACAACATTATTCGCGACGAATCGATGCTGTGGTGTGTATAAGTCCATGATGATTAATATATAAAAAGATATATAAATAATATATAATAATAAGAATAATAATAATAATAATAATAATAATAATAATAATAATAATAATAATAATAATAATAATAATAATAATAATAATAATAATAATAATAATAATAATAATAATAATAATAATAATAATAATAATAATAATAATAATAATAATAATAATAATAATAATAATAATAATAATAATAATAATACTAATAATAATAATAATAATAATAATAATAATAATAATAATAATAATATACATACATACATTTACTAATACATGCATGTAAACATTGGTGCACACAGAGCTAAGCATGTTTCTGTTACCACAATTTACAACTTTCTTAAATACTCGTATAGACCATTTTTTCAAAAATACATATCTCATTGTGAGCAATATTAGTTTTGTTTCCTTATATATTATATGCCTCAAAAAAATAGTATATTAATAATTTTCTTATTTTATATTGCAGTGAGTCCATGGAGTATATGAACGATAAAGCATTAGGCGATGGAGACACTGCTCTGAAATTTGCTCTACTTTTTTCATCCCGGAACTTCGATGCGTTGGCTATGAAAGAGACAAAGGTCCGAAGTGCTATGCTAAAGATCCTGGAGACAAATTTCATCAATGCAGACGCATACCGAGAGCATGACAAGAATCGTCTGTACAACTCCATAACACTTTTAGGCGAATACTATCATCGCGTTCGTTTGGCCAACAATGCACCTATTACAATTTTGGGTGAATCGCTGCTCAATCTACTTACAAGGGAGATCAATGACACCTCATTGGTAATAAATACTCGATTGGCGCGTTTGATTTTATCACAGATTACGCTTAATGGCGAGATAATGCGCTCGCGCCATAAGGTAGAAATTGACCAACTACTGTACCATATTAGACGCCACCTGATAATGCAGCCGGTGCTAACGCCTAAAGTAAAAGCTATGCTGCTTATGGTGTTGGATTTGTTCTACAGCCATTTTAAGCACATTGGCTTCGAGTTGGAGGCAATGTACTCAGACTACCTGGTTGCTGAGAGTGCGGAAGACGATGGTATTAATAACAATAGTGTAGCTGTGCAGCCGCAGACTCAGTACCAGCAGCAACAAGAGTCTCAAAGTGCGTATATAGAAGGACATGGGAGAAGTAACACTGATAATGCCAGCCAAACAAATAAGTCCACCCACGATTCTTTTGAGTTGCAGCCTACGATGAAGAAATGGATCGAGCAAGTCTGTGAAGATTCGCTCTGCGATATTGGTTTTGGCGAGGCGGATATTGGTAGTGGTGATCTTTACAGTCAAGTCGAGCACGAACAAGCACGAGAAAGCAACAGAAATTCAAGTAACGAAGGAGGCGTGAATCGCCAAAGCCGACGCCCATATCAGCCGCGCACATCACCGCGTCCTTTGAAACACCCTCAGGTGGCCAATGAAGAGTAAGTGTTGCGATTGTGGAAACCATTCTCTTAAAAATAACATTTTTATTGTTCAAATTATTAGCCGCTCCGAAGGACTCGATCAATACGCGTCTGTGGGAAACAGTGAAGATCGTGATAAGACTAAGCCTTCACCTAGCTGGCGCAAGACTCGTTTTAATCGCCCCATCGATGGTGATAATCAAAACGGACGTTCGAGCAACCAACAACGTCGCTATAGCGCCAGCTTCGATGACGACCACCACATCGTGCGTAGCGATGGCGGTAATTTACGTCTATATACCATACACGATCGTCGTAAGCATTCCCAGGAACGTTATGAGAGGAATCTTGGCAGCAACAATTACAGCAGCATTGTGAACTCCAATTGGGACCAACGGGATGATCGCAGCGAACGCCCATATATTAGCAATTATGAGCCTGGCAATTATAAGCGCGGAGGGCGCTTTCACAATCGTAATACGTACGATAAGTCACCACGGTTCCAAAAGCAGCAGCAATAGCAACATCACTCACCTCATGGGCACCAAAATAAAGACAATCAGAAGATTCACAGCGAGACGTGGCGTCGCTAAAATACGTCCATAAACAATTCTTATCAGGATAAGAACTGTGCCTACAACTCCAGTGGGCACGAGTCAAATAGTTGCAGTTCATCACCAAAATCACAAATGTACGATGGAAAGTCGAATGCATCATATCGTCAGCGTCATCGCAATTTCACGCGACGTTCCCAGCCGCATATACACCAACCGAATGCTGAGAACTGACAGGCCCAGGGAAGCACCAAGGATGAGACCGAGATAGTTCGGAATGCCCAAGAAACCACAAAACACATGAACTATTTGTCCGCGAAGAAATGAGAAAAGGCTCCAGGGCGGCGGGTCCCCGCGGCAAAAGGACACTTCGTCGCAAAAACAATGAAGCTCATTCATCCTTATATTTATTCTGCCTACAATGTCTTGCACAATTAAAGATGCAATTGATTTTGATCAACTTCGGTTTGTGTTGGTTGTGCGAGAATTTTATGCATATTAAATGTGCACGATTAGGTGGCGTGACTTCGACAAAGTTTACTCACCTAAAAAAGGCTGTGGTGGTTTGAGGTGGTCCTGCCCTGTACGCATTGTCATCCAATTTAACGTGTGTAATAACGTGCGAAATAAATTTTTAAAATTGCAAAAGTTAACTAAGCAACTTTCAACTGAGTTCGATAGTCAATATAAGTTTGTGTCTCTGCCCAAACGTAGGTTAGAGCCTCAATTTCTAGAGGCCCCGCGGAGGGAGGGAATTTCCAAAATACACATTTTCTGCGTATTCACATAAGGCATCTGGGACTAAAATTAGTTATACGAATGGAAAATCGGGAAAATTCGCACTCCAACACACGGTATTATTTTATAAAAAAAAAAAAATATTTTAATTAAGTACTCATAGATCTGTGCATTTTAACTCTATTCATCACCTATTTAAAAAAAGGAACATTTACGAGTATTATTCATAATTACGGCCAGAGGCAGTAGCATAGAACGGATAAGCAGGCATTGGTGGAGAACGCAAACAAACGGAACTTCACAAACACAACGCACACAAACAGCAACAATTCCGATCAAGAAATGGCTAATATAGTTAGCAATCACAACAGTAGCAGCAGCAGCAATGGCACCAAGTACACAATATCTTACAATAATTTAAACAACGCTAGTACGAACAGCAATGGAATTGGCAGTGCTGGCAGCGAGGTGCAGACTTTGCGCGACGTTATGTCCTGTAATATGCTGAACGCGGGAGTAGGAACAGGTCCTGTCAACTATATGATACCAACAGGTGGTTGTGTCTACGACCACATCATTGCCATGATGAAGGGCCTTGATCTGGAGGATGATGGTATATTGTTGAACAGGAAGATAAAGGCCATAGAACGGATTTCTACAACATTATTCGCGACGAATCGATGCTGTGGTGTGTATAAGTCCATTGATGATATATAAATAATATATAATAATAATAATAATAATAATAATAATAATAATAATAATAATAATAATAATAATAATAATAATAATAATAATCATAATAATAATAATAATAATAATAATAATATAATAATAATAATAATAATAATAATAATAATAATAATAATAATAATAATAATAATAATAATAATAATAATAATAATAATAATATAATATATACATACATACATTTACTAATACATGCATGTAAACATTGGTGCACACAGAGCTAAGCATGTTTCTGTTACCACAATTTACAACTTTCTTAAATACCGTATAGACCATTTTTTCAAAAATACATATCTCATTGTGAGCAATATTAGTTTTGTTTCCTTATATATTATATGCCTCAAAAAAATAGTATATTAATAATTTTCTTATTTTATATTGCAGTGAGTCCATGGAGTATATGAACGATAAAGCATTAGGCGATGGAGACACTGCTCTGAAATTTGCTCTACTTTTTTCATCCCGGAACTTCGATGCGTTGGCTATGAAAGAGACAAAGGTCCGAAGTGCTATGCTAAAGATCCTGGAGACAAATTTCATCAATGCAGACGCATACCGAGAGCATGACAAGAATCGTCTGTACAACTCCATAACACTTTTAGGCGAATACTATCATCGCGTTCGTTTGGCCAACAATGCACCTATTACAATTTTGGGTGAATCGCTGCTCAATCTACTTACAAGGGAGATCAATGACACCTCATTGGTAATAAATACTCGATTGGCGCGTTTGATTTTATCACAGATTACGCTTAATGGCGAGATAATGCGCTCGCGCCATAAGGTAGAAATTGACCAACTACTGTACCATATTAGACGCCACCTGATAATGCAGCCGGTGCTAACGCCTAAAGTAAAAGCTATGCTGCTTATGGTGTTGGATTTGTTCTACAGCCATTTTAAGCACATTGGCTTCGAGTTGGAGGCAATGTACTCAGACTACCTGGTTGCTGAGAGTGCGGAAGACGATGGTATTAATAACAATAGTGTAGCTGTGCAGCCGCAGACTCAGTACCAGCAGCAACAAGAGTCTCAAAGTGCGTATATAGAAGGACATGGGAGAAGTAACACTGATAATGCCAGCCAAACAAATAAGTCCACCCACGATTCTTTTGAGTTGCAGCCTACGATGAAGAAATGGATCGAGCAAGTCTGTGAAGATTCGCTCTGCGATATTGGTTTTGGCGAGGCGGATATTGGTAGTGGTGATCTTTACAGTCAAGTCGAGCACGAACAAGCACGAGAAAGCAACAGAAATTCAAGTAACGAAGGAGGCGTGAATCGCCAAAGCCGACGCCCATATCAGCCGCGCACATCACCGCGTCCTTTGAAACACCCTCAGGTGGCCAATGAAGAGTAAGTGTTGCGATTGTGGAAACCATTCTCTTAAAAATAACATTTTTATTGTTCAAATTATTAGCCGCTCCGAAGGACTCGATCAATACGCGTCTGTGGGAAACAGTGAAGATCGTGATAAGACTAAGCCTTCACCTAGCTGGCGCAAGACTCGTTTTAATCGCCCCATCGATGGTGATAATCAAAACGGACGTTCGAGCAACCAACAACGTCGCTATAGCGCCAGCTTCGATGACGACCACCACATCGTGCGTAGCGATGGCGGTAATTTACGTCTATATACCATACACGATCGTCGTAAGCATTCCCAGGAACGTTATGAGAGGAATCTTGGCAGCAACAATTACAGCAGCATTGTGAACTCCAATTGGGACCAACGGGATGATCGCAGCGAACGCCCATATATTAGCAATTATGAGCCTGGCAATTATAAGCGCGGAGGGCGCTTTCACAATCGTAATACGTACGATAAGTCACCACGGTTCCAAAAGCAGCAGCAATAGCAACATCACTCACCTCATGGGCACCAAAATAAAGACAATCAGAAGATTCACAGCGAGACGTGGCGTCGCTAAAATACGTCCATAAACAATTCTTATCAGGATAAGAACTGTGCCTACAACTCCAGTGGGCACGAGTCAAATAGTTGCAGTTCATCACCAAAATCACAAATGTACGATGGAAAGTCGAATGCATCATATCGTCAGCGTCATCGCAATTTCACGCGACGTTCCCAGCCGCATATACACCAACCGAATGCTGAGAACTGACAGGCCCAGGGAAGCACCAAGGATGAGACCGAGATAGTTCGGAATGCCCAAGAAACCACAAAACACATGAACTATTTGTCCGCGAAGAAATGAGAAAAGGCTCCAGGGCGGCGGGTCCCCGCGGCAAAAGGACACTTCGTCGCAAAAACAATGAAGCTCATTCATCCTTATATTTATTCTGCCTACAATGTCTTGCACAATTAAAGATGCAATTGATTTTGATCAACTTCGGTTTGTGTTGGTTGTGCGAGAATTTTATGCATATTAAATGTGCACGATTAGGTGGCGTGACTTCGACAAAGTTTACTCACCTAAAAAAGGCTGTGGTGGTTTGAGGTGGTCCTGCCCTGTACGCATTGTCATCCAATTTAACGTGTGTAATAACGTGCGAAATAAATTTTTAAAATTGCAAAAGTTAACTAAGCAACTTTCAACTGAGTTCGATAGTCAATATAAGTTTGTGTCTCTGCCCAAACGTAGGTTAGAGCCTCAATTTCTAGAGGCCCCGCGGAGGGAGGGAATTTCCAAAATACACATTTTCTGCGTATTCACATAAGGCATCTGGGACTAAAATTAGTTATACGAATGGAAAATCGGGAAAATTCGCACTCCAACACACGGTATTATTTTATAAAAAAAAAAAAATATTTTAATTAAGTACTCATAGATCTGTGCATTTTAACTCTATTCATCACCTATTTAAAAAAAGGAACATTTACGAGTATTATTCATAATTACGGCCAGAGGCAGTAGCATAGAACGGATAAGCAGGCATTGGTGGAGAACGCAAACAAACGGAACTTCACAAACACAACGCACACAAACAGCAACAATTCCGATCAAGAAATGGCTAATATAGTTAGCAATCACAACAGTAGCAGCAGCAGCAATGGCACCAAGTACACAATATCTTACAATAATTTAAACAACGCTAGTACGAACAGCAATGGAATTGGCAGTGCTGGCAGCGAGGTGCAGACTTTGCGCGACGTTATGTCCTGTAATATGCTGAACGCGGGAGTAGGAACAGGTCCTGTCAACTATATGATACCAACAGGTGGTTGTGTCTACGACCACATCATTGCCATGATGAAGGGCCTTGATCTGGAGGATGATGGTATATTGTTGAACAGGAAGATAAAGGCCATAGAACGGATTTCTACAACATTATTCGCGACGAATCGATGCTGTGGTGTGTATAAGTCCATTGATGATTAATATATAAAAGATATATAATAATATATAATAATAATAATAATAATAATAATAATAATAATAATAATAATAATAATAATAATAATATAATAATAATAATAATAATAATAATAATAATAATAATAATAATAATAATAATAATAATAATAATAATAATAATAATAATAATAATAATAATAATAATAATAATAATAATAATAATAATAATAATAATAATAATAATAATAATAATAATAATAATAATAATAATATATAATACATACATTTACTAATACATGCATGTAAACATTGGTGCACACAGAGCTAAGCATGTTTCTGTTACCACAATTTACAACTTTCTTAAATACCGTATAGACCATTTTTTCAAAAATACATATCTCATTGTGAGCAATATTAGTTTTGTTTCCTTATATATTATATGCCTCAAAAAAATAGTATATTAATAATTTTCTTATTTTATATTGCAGTGAGTCCATGGAGTATATGAACGATAAAGCATTAGGCGATGGAGACACTGCTCTGAAATTTGCTCTACTTTTTTCATCCCGGAACTTCGATGCGTTGGCTATGAAAGAGACAAAGGTCCGAAGTGCTATGCTAAAGATCCTGGAGACAAATTTCATCAATGCAGACGCATACCGAGAGCATGACAAGAATCGTCTGTACAACTCCATAACACTTTTAGGCGAATACTATCATCGCGTTCGTTTGGCCAACAATGCACCTATTACAATTTTGGGTGAATCGCTGCTCAATCTACTTACAAGGGAGATCAATGACACCTCATTGGTAATAAATACTCGATTGGCGCGTTTGATTTTATCACAGATTACGCTTAATGGCGAGATAATGCGCTCGCGCCATAAGGTAGAAATTGACCAACTACTGTACCATATTAGACGCCACCTGATAATGCAGCCGGTGCTAACGCCTAAAGTAAAAGCTATGCTGCTTATGGTGTTGGATTTGTTCTACAGCCATTTTAAGCACATTGGCTTCGAGTTGGAGGCAATGTACTCAGACTACCTGGTTGCTGAGAGTGCGGAAGACGATGGTATTAATAACAATAGTGTAGCTGTGCAGCCGCAGACTCAGTACCAGCAGCAACAAGAGTCTCAAAGTGCGTATATAGAAGGACATGGGAGAAGTAACACTGATAATGCCAGCCAAACAAATAAGTCCACCCACGATTCTTTTGAGTTGCAGCCTACGATGAAGAAATGGATCGAGCAAGTCTGTGAAGATTCGCTCTGCGATATTGGTTTTGGCGAGGCGGATATTGGTAGTGGTGATCTTTACAGTCAAGTCGAGCACGAACAAGCACGAGAAAGCAACAGAAATTCAAGTAACGAAGGAGGCGTGAATCGCCAAAGCCGACGCCCATATCAGCCGCGCACATCACCGCGTCCTTTGAAACACCCTCAGGTGGCCAATGAAGAGTAAGTGTTGCGATTGTGGAAACCATTCTCTTAAAAATAACATTTTTATTGTTCAAATTATTAGCCGCTCCGAAGGACTCGATCAATACGCGTCTGTGGGAAACAGTGAAGATCGTGATAAGACTAAGCCTTCACCTAGCTGGCGCAAGACTCGTTTTAATCGCCCCATCGATGGTGATAATCAAAACGGACGTTCGAGCAACCAACAACGTCGCTATAGCGCCAGCTTCGATGACGACCACCACATCGTGCGTAGCGATGGCGGTAATTTACGTCTATATACCATACACGATCGTCGTAAGCATTCCCAGGAACGTTATGAGAGGAATCTTGGCAGCAACAATTACAGCAGCATTGTGAACTCCAATTGGGACCAACGGGATGATCGCAGCGAACGCCCATATATTAGCAATTATGAGCCTGGCAATTATAAGCGCGGAGGGCGCTTTCACAATCGTAATACGTACGATAAGTCACCACGGTTCCAAAAGCAGCAGCAATAGCAACATCACTCACCTCATGGGCACCAAAATAAAGACAATCAGAAGATTCACAGCGAGACGTGGCGTCGCTAAAATACGTCCATAAACAATTCTTATCAGGATAAGAACTGTGCCTACAACTCCAGTGGGCACGAGTCAAATAGTTGCAGTTCATCACCAAAATCACAAATGTACGATGGAAAGTCGAATGCATCATATCGTCAGCGTCATCGCAATTTCACGCGACGTTCCCAGCCGCATATACACCAACCGAATGCTGAGAACTGACAGGCCCAGGGAAGCACCAAGGATGAGACCGAGATAGTTCGGAATGCCCAAGAAACCACAAAACACATGAACTATTTGTCCGCGAAGAAATGAGAAAAGGCTCCAGGGCGGCGGGTCCCCGCGGCAAAAGGACACTTCGTCGCAAAAACAATGAAGCTCATTCATCCTTATATTTATTCTGCCTACAATGTCTTGCACAATTAAAGATGCAATTGATTTTGATCAACTTCGGTTTGTGTTGGTTGTGCGAGAATTTTATGCATATTAAATGTGCACGATTAGGTGGCGTGACTTCGACAAAGTTTACTCACCTAAAAAAGGCTGTGGTGGTTTGAGGTGGTCCTGCCCTGTACGCATTGTCATCCAATTTAACGTGTGTAATAACGTGCGAAATAAATTTTTAAAATTGCAAAAGTTAACTAAGCAACTTTCAACTGAGTTCGATAGTCAATATAAGTTTGTGTCTCTGCCCAAACGTAGGTTAGAGCCTCAATTTCTAGAGGCCCCGCGGAGGGAGGGAATTTCCAAAATACACATTTTCTGCGTATTCACATAAGGCATCTGGGACTAAAATTAGTTATACGAATGGAAAATCGGGAAAAATTCGCACTCCAACACACGGTATTATTTTATAAAAAAAAAAAAATATTTTAATTAAGTACTCATAGATCTGTGCATTTTAACTCTATTCATCACCTATTTAAAAAAAGGAACATTTACGAGTATTATTCATAATTACGGCCAGAGGCAGTAGCATAGAACGGATAAGCAGGCATTGGTGGAGAACGCAAACAAACGGAACTTCACAAACACAACGCACACAAACAGCAACAATTCCGATCAAGAAATGGCTAATATAGTTAGCAATCACAACAGTAGCAGCAGCAGCAATGGCACCAAGTACACAATATCTTACAATAATTTAAACAACGCTAGTACGAACAGCAATGGAATTGGCAGTGCTGGCAGGTGCAGACTTTGCGCGACGTTATGTCCTGTAATATGCTGAACGCGGGAGTAGGAACAGGTCCTGTCAACTATATGATACCAACAGGTGGTTGTGTCTACGACCACATCATTGCCATGATGAAGGGCCTTGATCTGGAGGATGATGGTATATTGTTGACAGGAAGATAAAGGCCATAGAAACGGATTTCTACAACATTATCGCGACGAATCGATGCTGTGGTGTGTATAAGTCCATTGATGATTAATATATAAAAAGATATATAAATAATATATAATAATAATAATAATAATAATAATAATAATAATAATAATAATAATAATAATAAATAATAATAATAATAATAATATAATAATAATAATAATAATAATAATAATAATAATAATAATAATACTATAATAATACATAATAATAATAATACTATACTAATAAGAATAATAGAATAATACTAATATATACTAATAATACAATACTATAATATAATAATAATATAATAATACATAATAATAATAATAATAATAATAATATATACATACATACATTTACTAATACATGCATGTAAACATTGGTGCACACAGAGCTAAGCATGTTTCTGTTACCACAATTTACAACTTTCTTAAATACCGTATAGACCATTTTTTCCAAAATACATATCTCATTGTGAGCAATATAGTTTTTGTTCTATATATATTATATGGCCTCAAAAAAATAGTATATTAATAATTTTCTTATTTTATATTGCAGTGAGTCCATGGAGTATATGAACGATAAAGCATTAGGCGATGGAGACACTGCTCTGAAATTTGCTCTACTTTTTTCATCCCGGAACTTCGATGCGTTGGCTATGAAAGAGACAAAGGTCCGAAGTGCTATGCTAAAGATCCTGGAGACAAATTTCATCAATGCAGACGCATACCGAGAGCATGACAAGAATCGTCTGTACAACTCCATAACACTTTTAGGCGAATACTATCATCGCGTTCGTTTGGCCAACAATGCACCTATTACAATTTTGGGTGAATCGCTGCTCAATCTACTTACAAGGGAGATCAATGACACCTCATTGGTAATAAATACTCGATTGGCGCGTTTGATTTTATCACAGATTACGCTTAATGGCGAGATAATGCGCTCGCGCCATAAGGTAGAAATTGACCAACTACTGTACCATATTAGACGCCACCTGATAATGCAACCGGTGCTAACGCCTAAAGTAAAAGCTATGCTGCTTATGGTGTTGGATTTGTTCTACAGCCATTTTAAGCACATTGGCTTCGAGTTGGAGGCAATGTACTCAGACTACCTGGTTGCTGAGAGTGCGGAAGACGATGGTATTAATAACAATAGTGTAGCTGTGCAGCCGCAGACTCAGTACCAGCAGCAACAAGAGTCTCAAAGTGCGTATATAGAAGGACATGGGAGAAGTAACACTGATAATGCCAGCCAAACAAATAAGTCCACCCACGATTCTTTTGAGAAATGGATCGAGCAAGTCTGTGAAGATTCGCTCTGCGATATTGGTTTTGGCGAGGCGGATATTGGTAGTGGTGATCTTTACAGTCAAGTCGAGCACGAACAAGCACGAGAAAGCAACAGAAATTCAAGTAACGAAGGAGGCGTGAATCGCCAAAGCCGACGCCCATATCAGCCGCGCACATCACCGCGTCCTTTGAAACACCCTCAGGTGGCCAATGAAGAGTAAGTGTTGCGATTGTGGAAACCATTCTCTTAAAAATAACATTTTTATTGTTCAAATTATTAGCCGCTCCGAAGGACTCGATCAATACGCGTCTGTGGGAAACAGTGAAGATCGTGATAAGACTAAGCCTTCACCTAGCTGGCGCAAGACTCGTTTTAATCGCCCCATCGATGGTGATAATCAAAACGGACGTTCGAGCAACCAACAACGTCGCTATAGCGCCAGCTTCGATGACGACCACCACATCGTGCGTAGCGATGGCGGTAATTTACGTCTATATACCATACACGATCGTCGTAAGCATTCCCAGGAACGTTATGAGAGGAATCTTGGCAGCAACAATTACAGCAGCATTGTGAACTCCAATTGGGACCAACGGGATGATCGCAGCGAACGCCCATATATTAGCAATTATGAGCCTGGCAATTATAAGCGCGGAGGGCGCTTTCACAATCGTAATACGTACGATAAGTCACCACGGTTCCAAAAGCAGCAGCAATAGCAACATCACTCACCGTGGCGTCGCTAAAATACGTCCATAAACAATTCTTATCAGGATAAGAACTGTGCCTACAACTCCAGTGGGCACGAGTCAAATAGTTGCAGTTCATCACCAAAATCACAAATGTACGATGGAAAGTCGAATGCATCATATCGTCAGCGTCATCGCAATTTCACGCGACGTTCCCAGCCGCATATACACCAACCGAATGCTGAGAACTGACAGGCCCAGGGAAAGCACCAAGGATGAGACCGAGATAGTTCGGAATGCCCAAGAAACCACAAAACACATGAACTATTTGTCCGCGAAGAAAATGAGAAAAGGCTCCAGGGCGGCGGGTCCCCGCGGCAAAGGACACTTCGTCGCAAAAACAATGAAGCTCATTCATCCTTATATTTATTCTGCCTACAATGTCTTGCACAATTAAAGATGCAATTGATTTTGATCAACTTCGGTTTGTGTTGGTTGTGCGAGAATTTTATGCATATTAAATGTGCACGATTAGGTGGCGTGACTTCGACAAAGTTTACTCACCTAAAAAAGGCTGTGGTGGTTTGAGGTGGTCCTGCCCTGTACGCATTGTCATCCAATTTAACGTGTGTAATAACGTGCGAAATAAATTTTTAAAATTGCAAAAGTTAACTAAGCAACTTTCAACTGAGTTCGATAGTCAATATAAGTTTGTGTCTCTGCCCAAACGTAGGTTAGAGCCTCAATTTCTAGAGGCCCCGCGGAGGGAGGGAATTTCCAAAATACACATTTTCTGCGTATTCACATAAGGCATCTGGGACTAAAATTAGTTATACGAATGGAAAATCGGGAAAATTCGCACTCCAACACACGGTATTATTTTATAAAAAAAAAAAATATTTTAATTAAGTACTCATAGATCTGTGCATTTTAACTCTATTCATCACCTATTTAAAAAAAGGAACATTACGAGTATTATTCATAATTACGACCAGAGGCAGTAGCATAGAACGGATAAGCAGGCATTGGTGGAGAACGCAAACAAACGGAACTTCACAAACACAACGCACACAAACAGCAACAATTCCGATCAAGAAATGGCTAATATAGTTAGCAATCACAACAGTAGCAGCAGCAGCAATGGCACCAAGTACACAATATCTTACAATAATTTAAACAACGCTAGTACGAACAGCAATGGAATTGGCAGTGCTGGCAGTCCTGTAATATGGTGATATGTCTGTATGTATGGTAATATGCCACATCATTGCCATGATGAAGGGCCTTGATCTGGAGGATGATGGTATATTGTTGAACAGGAAGATAAAGGCCATAGAAACGGATTTCTACAACATTATTCGCGACGAATCGATGCTGTGGTGTGTATAAGTCCATTGATGATTAATATAAAAAGATATATATAATATATAATAAAATAATAATAATAATAATAATAATAATAATAATAATATAATAATAATAAGAATAATAATAATAATAATAATATAATAATAATAATAATAATAATATAATATAATAATAATAATAATAATAATAGAATAATAATAATAATAATAATAATAATAATAATAATAATAATAATAATAATATATAATACATACATTACTAATACATGCATGTAAACCTTGGTGCACACAGAGCTAAGCATGTTCTGTTTACCACAATTTACAACTTTCTTAAATACCGTATAGACCATTTTTTCAAAAATACATATCTCATTGTGAGCAATATTAGTTTTGTTATCTATATATATTATATGCCTCAAAAAATAGTATATTACTAATTTTTCTTATTTTATATTGCAGTGAGTCCATGGAGTATATAGAACGATAAGCATTAGGCGATGGAGACACCTGCTCTGAAATTTGCTCTACTTTTTTTCATCCCGGAACTTCGATGCTGTTGGCTATGAAAGAGACAAAGGTCCGAAGTGCTATGCTAAAGATCCTGGAGACAAATTTCATCAATGCAGACGCATACCGAGAGCATGACAAGAATCGTCTGTACAACTCCATAACACTTTTAGGCGAATACTATCATCGCGTTCGTTTGGCCACAATGCACCTATTACAATTTTGGGTGAATCGCTGCTCAATCTACTTACAAGGGAGATCAATGACACCTCATTGGTAATAAATACTCGATTGGCGCGTTTGATTTTATCACAGATTACGCTTAATGGCGAGATAATGCGCTCGCGCCATAAGGTAGAAATTGACCAACTACTGTACCATATTAGACGCCACCTGATAATGCAACCGGTGCTAACGCCTAAAGTAAAAGCTATGCTGCTTATGGTGTTGGATTTGTTCTACAGCCATTTTAAGCACATTGGCTTCGAGTTGGAGGCAATGTACTCAGACTACCTGGTTGCTGAGAGTGCGGAAGACGATGGTATTAATAACAATAGTGTAGCTGTGCAGCCGCAGACTCAGTACCAGCAGCAACAAGAGTCTCAAAGTGCGTATATAGAAGGACATGGGAGAAGTAACACTGATAATGCCAGCCAAACAAATAAGTCCACCCACGATTCTTTTGAGAAATGGATCGAGCAAGTCTGTGAAGATTCGCTCTGCGATATTGGTTTTGGCGAGGCGGATATTGGTAGTGGTGATCTTTACAGTCAAGTCGAGCACGAACAAGCACGAGAAAGCAACAGAAATTCAAGTAACGAAGGAGGCGTGAATCGCCAAAGCCGACGCCCATATCAGCCGCGCACATCACCGCGTCCTTTGAAACACCCTCAGGTGGCCAATGAAGAGTAAGTGTTGCGATTGTGGAAACCATTCTCTTAAAAATAACATTTTTATTGTTCAAATTATTAGCCGCTCCGAAGGACTCGATCAATACGCGTCTGTGGGAAACAGTGAAGATCGTGATAAGACTAAGCCTTCACCTAGCTGGCGCAAGACTCGTTTTAATCGCCCCATCGATGGTGATAATCAAAACGGACGTTCGAGCAACCAACAACGTCGCTATAGCGCCAGCTTCGATGACGACCACCACATCGTGCGTAGCGATGGCGGTAATTTACGTCTATATACCATATACGAATCGTCGTAAGCATTCCCAGGAACGTTATGAGAGGGAATCTTGGCAGCAACAATTACAGCAGCATTGTGAACTCCAATTGGGACCAACGGGATGATCGCAGCGAACGCCCATATATTAGCAATTATGAGCCTGGCAATTATAAGCGCGGAGGGCGCTTTCACAATCGTAATACGTACGATAAGTCACCACGGTTCCAAAAGCAGCAGCAATAGCAACATCACTCACCGTGGCGTCGCTAAATACGTCCATAAACAATTCTTATCAGGATAAGAACTGTGCCTACAACTCCAGTGGGCACGAGTCAAATAGTTGCAGTTCATCACCAAAATCACAAATGTACGATGGAAAGTCGAATGCATCATATCGTCAGCGTCATCGCAATTTCACGCGACGTTCCCAGCCGCATATACACCAACCGAATGCTGAGAACTGACAGGCCCAGGGAAGCACCAAGGATGAGACCGAGATAGTTCGGAATGCCCAAGAAACCACAAAAACACATGAACTATTTGTCCGCGAAGAAATGAGAAAAGGCTCCAGGGCGGCGGGTCCCCGCGGCAAAAGGACACTTCGTCGCAAAAACAATGAAGCTCATTCATCCTTATATTTATTCTGCCTACAATGTCTTGCACAATTAAAGATGCAATTGATTTTGATCAACTTCGGTTTGTGTTGGTTGTGCGAGAATTTTATGCATATTAAATGTGCACGATTAGGTGGCGTGACTTCGACAAAGTTTACTCACCTAAAAAAGGCTGTGGTGGTTTGAGGTGGTCCTGCCCTGTACGCATTGTCATCCAATTTAACGTGTGTAATAACGTGCGAAATAAATTTTTAAAATTGCAAAAGTTAACTAAGCAACTTTCAACTGAGTTCGATAGTCAATATAAGTTGTGTCTCTGCCCAAACGTAGGTTAGAGCCTCAATTTCTAGAGGCCCCGCGGAGGGAGGGAATTTCCAAAATACACATTTTCTGCGTATTCACATAAGGCATCTGGGACTAAAATTAGTTATACGAATGGAAAATCGGGGAAAATTCGCACTCCAACACACGGTATTATTTTATAAAAAAAAAAAATATTTTAATTAAGTACTCATAGATCTGTGCATTTTAACTCTATTCATCACCTATTTAAAAAAAGGAACATTTACGAGTATTATTCATAATTACGGCCAGAGGCAGTAGCATAGAACGGATAAGCAGGCATTGGTGGAGAACGCAAACAAACGGAACTTCACAAACACAACGCACACAAACAGCAACAATTCCGATCAAGAAATGGCTAATATAGTTAGCAATCACAACAGTAGCAGCGCAGCAGCAATGGCACCAAGTACACAATATCTTACAATAATTTAAACAACGCTAGTACGAACAGCAATTGGAATTGGCAGTGCTGGGCAGTCCTGTAATATGCTGAACGCGGGAGTAGGAACAGGTCCTGTCAAACTATATGATACCAACAGGTGGTTGTGTCTACGACCACATCATTGCCCTGATGAAGAGCCTTGATCTGGAGGATGATGGTATATTGTTGAACAGGAAGATAAAGCCTAGAAACGGATTTCCTACACCATTATTCGCGACGAATCGATGCTGTGGTGTGTATAAGTCCATGATGGATTAATATATAAAAGAGATATATAAATAATATATAATAATCATAATAAAATAATAATAATACTAATAATAATAATAATAAGAATAATAATAATAAGTAATAATAATAATAATAATAAGAATAATAATAATACTAATAATAATGAATGACTAATAATAATAAGAATAATAATAATAATAATAATAATAATACATAATAATAATAATAATAATAATAATCTAATAATAATAATAATATAGACCTACATTTACTAATACATGCATGTAAACATTGGTGCACACAGAGCTAAGCATGTTTCTGTTACCACAATTTACAACTTTCTTAAATACCGTATAGACCATTTTTTCAAAAATACATATCTCATTGTGAGCAATATTAGTTTTGTTATCCTATATATATTATATGCCTCAAAAAATAGTATATTAATAATTTTCTTATTTTATATTGCAGTGAGTCCATGGAGTATATGAACGATTAAAGCATTAGGCGATGGAGGACACTGCTCTGAAATTTGCTCTACTTTTTTTCATCCCGGAACTTCGATGCGTTGGCTATGAAAG